TTCCTGCTGTTTTTATACTTTCCAAGTTCCTATGTGTTTTTACAGATTTTTGCCTTAAAGCAACATTCACACTCTATATTCAATTTGTCTTTACCTTTCAGAACTATTACCAATTCTTTATTCTCCATCTCTTCAATGATCCTTATTTTTACATGTCGATGCCACACATCTTTCTCTGTTGATACATATGCTGCCTCTTTTCTGTTTCTTGATTCTACGTATTATACATTTCCTTTTCTCACTGCTTTCATTAGAACTTTTTTCTTTTCTTTATGTACCTCAGCTCCATCAATCTGAAACTTAACAGATTAGCAATGATCAGTGACCTTAACCACTGATATTAATTTTTATTCAGATCAAGAATACGACATACCTTTTATCTTACTGTATTCTCTATATCCTGTTCTTATAAGAGGACATCACCTAAATTAATTTTATTCCCTTTTGTTTGCCTAAATCATCTTCCTTTTCTGAATCTTTATTTGATCATCAAATATTTTTATCTTGTATGTCATATGGTTAGCCAATCTAGAATCCAATAGCATATCATACTTTACACATTTCTATTACTGCTTAAATTTTTTCTCACTATAAAATATAATTCTTGACATCTAATAGCTCTACACTGATGTTGAACGAGTCCAATTTTTTCTCCTGTTGCACGTGCCTGTTTATTTCAACCGAACATTGTCTTTTTGTAATCAGGTTCTTTAATTAACTTATAACTAACTTACCACTATAGTTTATAACTAATATTTCAATTTTGGTGCGTAGCTCTTAGCTTAGTATCGTTTCCCAAAAATTATATTTAGGCAAACAATACAAATTACCAGGTCCCACCACGTGGAGGTGACTACGCATCGGGACCCGGACATGTGCCCTAGTGGCGCAGCCTGCTGGCGCTATCTGTATCAAAGGTACCCTAATCTACCTTGGAGCGAATGAAGTTAAAATGACTCTACTGACACTTTATAAAATTTCGTGTCTTATCAAAGGGACTTCGATTCGGTATACTAAAATTTATTACTTTACTGTCGCAACACTAACAGACTCTAATATTTCCAAGTTCCCACAAAATTCGGGAATCAAATATGAAAAACGCGAGCAAAGGAAAACTAAGTTAAAATCGCGACGCGCCCAAACGAATTCGCGATTATTCGAAAGACCGACTGACCTATTCAACGTACTCTCGTGTACAGGACAACTTCATGCCTCGGCACCCTCCCGATCGGGCCTAGACCAAGTCCAACCACTGCCAATCCCGTCATGTCTTACTCGAGAACCAAGGTAATCGCCGAACCAGTGAAACCCCTAGGATCAATACGAGGGTCCAGCGAGGTCTAGTAGCTGAACAGACACTCCATGCCCCTGCGCCATGGGGTAGAACTGAATCATCCCAAGTGGACTGACCGCAGACACATCATGCCCGTCAGACTACCGGACCCATACCACAGTCGTGTACGACCGTGGCCGCAAACCCTCGCATTGATACCGGAAGAAACACTGGCCCGAGAACGACCCTGGAACTCGATGCATGACGAGATTGACAGTGGATGGAAATGAGTGTCGGAGACGAGCCGTGAGGATGACTTATGTGGCATGAAGTTGTCGAGTTACACGAGAGTACGTCGAATAGACTAGTCGGTACTTAAAAACGACCGCGATTATCGCGAGAACAATTATGTTCTATTTGGTAAACGAGAGGGGTGAAGGAGAAAAAATGTAACAGGGATATGTTCGCTCCAAGTTAGACAGGTTACCTTTGTACAGAAAGCGCGCACATGAAACTTAAACTAGGATCTATCTTATAACTACTTAGGTCTAAGCGCGCGCATCCCGCGTCGTCCAACGATGTCTTCCGAATGAAATTTTGAAAAACTTGACAACCTAATAAGAAAATATATAATCCTGAAATTAAATGGATTAGTAAGGGGAAAGACAATAAAAGTGACAAGAATATGAATTACGATGATAAACGAAATAGATCGAACAACCCAACGATGAGACATAGATAAACCAACGACGAAATATTCAAATTCTGAAATAAAAATAAACAGACGTGATAAAAATAAAGTCTGAAAGAAGAAAAAATATTAAAACCTGAAAGAAAAAGAAATAAATCCTGTAAATAAAATAATTAAATCCTGTAAAAAGAAAATAATTAAATCCTGTAAAAAAAATATTTAAATCCTGTAAAAGGGAAATAATTAAATCCTGTAAGAAGGGAATAATTAAATCCTGTAAGAAGGGAATAATTAAATCCTGTAAATAAAATAATTAAATCATGAAAGCAAAATAATTAAATCCTGTAAAAAGAAAATAATTAAATCATGAAAATAAAATAACTAAATCCTGTAAATAAAATAATTAAATCCTCTAAAAAAAGTAAATCCTGTAAGAAGAAAATAATAAAATCTTGTAAATAAAATAATTAAATGATATAAATAAAATAATTAAATTCTGTAAGAAGGGAATAATTAAATCCTGTAAGAAGGGAATAATTAAATGATATAAATAAAATAATTAAATTCTGTAAAAAGAAAATAATTAAATCCTGTAAATAAAATAATGAAATCATGAAAATATAATAATTAAATCCTGTAAAAAAAAATAATTTAATCATGAAAATAAAATAATTAAATCCTGTAAATAAAATAATTAAATCCTGTAAAAAGAAAATAATTAAATCCTGTAAGGAGAGAATAATTAAATCCTGTAAATAAAATAATTAAATCATGAAAATGAAATAATTAAACCCTGTAAATAAAATAATTAAATCATGAAAATGAAATAATTAAATCCTGTAAATAAAATAATTAAATCATGAAAATGAAATAATTAAATCCTGTAAATAAAATAATTAAATGATGAAAATAAGACAATTAAATCCTGTAAATAAAATAATTAAATGACACAAATAAAACAATTAAATCCTGTAAAAAGAAAATAATTGAATCCTGTAAAAAGAATATATTTAAATCCTTTAAGAAAAAGGAAGTTTAAACCTGTAAAAAAATAATTAAATTATTTATGGGGGTGGGGAATGGATTATGCGGACAGTGGCTATCGGATTTCCACCATCCACCATCCACCATCCACCATCCTCCACCCTCCACCCTCCACCCTCCACCTTCTAACCCCTTCCACACGAAAAAAATTTTGATATGACTCTTCCGAAATCAAAATGACAAATGACAATAACACCGGCGCGTCGCCCTTTATATAGCCCTCGATCGGCCGAAGATCGACGGAAATTTCCGGACTACACCGATTCTATTAATTATTATTTTTTCTCTATAATAGCCAATAATTTATTAATTTTTTCACTTTTATTGTAAATTTACATTGTGCACAATCTGTTGTTAACAATATTAATTTGTTGTTAACAATAAGTGTAATAATTTATAAACTTTTTGCCAATTATAGGTACATTTTAACGTAATTACGTTATGAATTCAAGTAATAACCTGCAATTTATTCATTTTTTCACTTTTATTACAATTTTACATTGTGAACAACATGTTATTAACAATATTAATTTGTTACTAACGATAAATATAATAATTTGTAAACTTTATTTATGTTCTTAGAATATAAATTTCCGTGATCCATGTATATTTAATATTTTTATGCTTTAAGCAATTTGTTATTAACAATTTTAATTTGTTTTGATAATAAATTTGATAATTTATATATTTTTTATAAACTGGAACTGTATTTGCACTTCCAAAGGATAAATATCCATGTTTATGTCAAAATAGTTTTATTTCCTTTGTATTTTTAATTAAAATGAAGTATTTCACGAAAAGTAAAAACATTAGAAGGTTCATTTTCATCTTAAAAGTTACTTGGGAGTTTATTCTTTAACACATTATATTAAAAAGGTCATTAGTATTTATATACCGAATAACGAAACTATTTCAAATTACAAGTGACTTAAAGAAATTGCTTATATATTATATATTAGTATAAAAAAGTACTGCATGAAGACTTACACGTTATACATATCAAAAATGTGTCGATTACGCATGACTACGGCCCTGATGGATCTAGATGTGTGAAGAATAGCTGTGTGGCGGGAAAATTCTGCTTTCAGTTTATCAATACATGTTTCACCGTCCTGTCATATTGAAGATCATTCTAATATTATTTCTGGTTGGTTTGTTCTTCAGAAAAGCTTATAGAATACTATACTATACAGAATACTATAACAAATTCGTGTCAAATAAACAACTTTTTAAAGATGCAGTAATTTGCGTAAAAAATACACTCGAAGATTTATTTTTACAGTTTTATATCAGCTAGACAATTTTAGAAAAATTCCCTAAGTTAAAAAATTATTTCCCTTAAATGATTTTAAATCTGTTTTGTTTGTTTTCCCAGGATTTTCCTAGCAAAGGGTGGCTCATTCGATTTTCAGACGTGATTGGAGCATCTCATACTGTAGATTACAGATTTTGGAGGTACAATGGTATGGCCAGTTCCGGTTTGCGACAAGTGGCCGAACTTGGATCGACCCGGAAATTAGAATCTGAATTAAAGGAACAAGTAAATACTCTTATTGAAACAGTAACAACGCCACAGTAAAGAGAAAAAGGAATTTATTTGTATCAATTAATTTTTGTAATATTTTATACTATTCTCTTTCTTAATTTCTTTCTATAATTCACAAATTTATTCACAGACAGATTTACGATATCAAAGAATCAAATAAATTACAATTACTTTATGTTTAAAATAAATTGAAGCGTTTTAAATGTATGTGGATGATCGAATATTTTATTTCTTCGTAGAGTGAACATATCAGGACTATAATTAAAGCCAGGGGAATAAGTTATCCCAATGTTACTGGGAAAACCTTTGCAGTCTTCCGTGTTGACCGGAAACACCACCTCATGTCCTTGGTCTCCATGATTGGTAAGAATATTTAACGTACCTCGAGATTAGGTTAGTAAAACTAATTTGAAAATAATATTTGTACCTAATATGCTTCTAAAAATGTTATTTAATTTTTCTTTATGTCTGCAGTACATTTAAACATTTTTTAAATAATTTATTTCTTCGCTACGTAGAAATACTGCAGAATTAACGCAAGAGTCCTTAAAAGTCTTAAAAGTTTTGCACGTTTCTATGGAAACTTTGAAAATTTACGAGGAATTGATACAATTCTTTTATACCAGTTTAATTATATTAAATATGAAATATAACAAATGATTTTATAGATCCATCGCCGGATTGGATCGTCGGGGTTTCAGGTTTGGAGTTGTGCCAATCTAATTGCACATGGATCGAACACAAAGAACTGAATTTGTACCCTTACGATGCGGGCACTGACAATGGAATCACGTATTTAGTAAGCAAACTATTTTATTCAATGATCTATATTCGAAATATTCCGTTCCTTTCTTTTACCAATTTGTCATACCCTTTTCCCATTATTTTTATTCTAATATTTAACTATTCGATTGAAACGTTATAAATTTTTAAAAATCTACGAAAATTATATTGCTTCGTTTACCAAAACACAGCTAGTGAATATAAAAAAAAAAATATAAAAATTCGATAATGAGACATGAAAAAGAAAATGAGACTTCAAGAAGCACGAAGTATTTACAAATAAAAATGAAATTAATTATTGCAAACTACATATCAAAAATAATATTCGAGTCAATAGAAAATTGTTTAAATTCAAATAAACTAAAAATTAAAATCAGTCCGAGTTTTCAAAAACACTTATTTTACCGATATAAAATATCAAACGATATTTTCAATGTCTCGTGTCCAAGAGATTTGAGACTTTTCTTATATCCGTGATTATTTTTACAAAACTTATACGGTATCCTGTCTGCGTAAACTTCAGCAAACTGTCCGTACAAACTTTAGCGAGTTTCCTCCCCCTCTATTTCCGGTTTCATACAGTTTTATTCGGTCCGTTCGTTACCACCGGAGCATGAGGCCAAAGGAGTTTCCGATACGAAACAAATTACGAGGAATAACGAAAAATTGCAAATGGTGAGCTGTAACGAATGAATTCGCTGGTGGTAAAAGAGGATTTCCCCTTTGGCGGGAATGATATCTGTAGGCGTTGCAGTATTCCTAGGCGCCGGAGAAAGGACGAAGAAAGGATTCGTTTGGGGAAGCGAAATGAACGTCAGCTGTCGATCGCAGAAAATCGCATAATAAATTCGACGGCAGCCCCCCCCCCCCAGCGACCCCGGGTCTAACAATTGACAATAGAGCTGCGGGTCGCGCGAAAATCGCTGACGGCAGTGAAGAAAACGTGCTGCAACGCTTTTCCGGACGACCGGGGATTTTTTGCCCCACGTCGCGGCGCCATCGTTTCTCGATCTACGAATGCGCGTCGTCGAACAATCCTCGTTGTCGTGAAAGAGAATTTCAACGTACATTGATATCGTGCACGTATTGTTGAATAAATAAAACAAAGCTAATTAGTCGAATCATTGAGGAAAATTTGGTGTCGGTAATACAGGGAACTGGATCGAAGGATGAAATAGATAAATGAGTTTCGATATTTGTTCAGTTGCTACAGGAAATGTGAAATAAATTGTTGAAGATATAGAATACGAGAGTCTCCATTTGCTAGTTTTGGCAGATCTTTCCCCTTGGTAAGAATTAAATCAAATTTTCTTGAATTTATTATAGTCACCCGATTCTCCAGCGGAAGAACAGGAACCCATTCGTCGGATAACATCAAGCTACCCAAATGACTCTAGGTCTCCCTTCTACGATCCTTCCGGTTTAGATATGAAACCGCTTGCCAGGCTTTACTTAAACCGACAGAGGCTTTACGAAAAAATTTGCGTTTCTACACCAGGGGATGTGGTTGACACAGGTACAACACCAACACCACCTGATAATAATCGCAAAAACAGCAAGTATTCCTTTTATTTTATTTTCGTTTTATGTTTCGTTAACTCCTTTTATCTTCTAATCCGTATAAAACGAAAATGCATTTGTGACTAATTTCATTTCATTCAAAGCAGCATGTTTTTGGCTTATTATTTCGAGTAATCGTTCGTTCATCCATTGTACTGTTAATTAAAAATAAGAATTGCGTTATTACGAAGGGTATGCATATGTTTGAATGCTTCATTTGATTAATCATTATCAGAAATGTTCACGCTCACTGCTTCTAAGAAAATGAAGGTAACATAGGTCTCTGCTTTTTAGTACGCTAGTTTATTTACCATAATTCTTTATTTTCGTTATTAATGCAATTAAATTTTCGTTAACTTTCGTTTTAATTAATTAAAAAGCTTCCAAGATTTTGTTCTTTCTCTTATTAATCGTGTTATTAATTAATTTATTATCAATCGGTACCACGATATATCTAATTCGATTAATTCATCTGATAAACCTGACGCTTTAAAATATTTAAAACAGATTATTCCATAAATATTCTCGTAAATATCTGTGATTATTAAAATCAAAGGATTTGAAGATCAAAAGAAAATTTTTGTATTAATTTACGAGGTCTATAAGAATCTTGTAACCTGTCTTAACATTATCGTCCATGTGACAAGCACACGAAGGCATGGCTTTCTAAGGATGACGTTGATAAGCAATATAATTTCTGACGTACGCAGAAGCCTGCAGAGTGACACAGTGGGGCCCTTGGGATCCTTGCCCCGTAACTTGCGGCCGTGGTAACCAGCTCAGACAAAGATATTACCAGGACAAAGCTGCTGCGACGCTGAACAAGTGCAACACCTCGCTAACCGACAGAATGACATGTCATGGAAAGAGCCCTCACTGGTAATTGCTTCGATTTTATGGAAATAAGCAGCTATAACCAGCACAGATTATCATCGCTATGCACCACTATACATACGTAATTATTTTTATAAACAAAGGAGGTATCCGCATTTTACAAAGGCTGAAATATTTCCAGTCATTCAGGTATAGTCCATTGATATTACCGATTCGTCTTCATTATTCGAGAACATCGAGAAACACAAATTATTGTTCATATTTATTTTCATTATTTCATATTGCGATATAAAAACAGCATTTATCGGGAGAAATTAAAGCCAATGTAAATGCATAGCTTCGTATTTTCACTATTATCTTGATTTTCCAATATAAAATTGTTTACGAAGCAAAATTTATGTTATTACGTAGTAGAGTGAAGCGCATGTAGTGCGAGTCAAGGGTTAGTCAGACGCGTCTCTATTTTCGTTACGCGTACTCCATAAACGGTAGTCGAGTGTAATTCGCTTTTATAATATTTACGAATCGTTAATAAATCTTTGATAAAAATCTATAATATAAATAAAAATCGAACAGACAAGAATTTTAACGTACACTTTAACCACTATTTCTAGGTGGTTAGTAAACTAACTATTTCGGTAAATCACTAATTCTTTCTTTCTTTTTTTTGACTTAATCATAATTACTCGCGCCAATAATTTTTATAAATTCAAAGTAACGAAATTGGTGAATCCTTAGACGAGGAGTATAGAATTGTCTGAAAATTATTTAAATTATTTAAATTATTAATTATTTAAATTCTTAAATATACGACGTTTTGAAGAAAATACTTTTATTTAAAGAAACAACGTTTCATACATACTAATCAAATATATTAGGTATAAATAATTAGGTATAAATAAACGACACCTATTGTTAGAAGAAAGAACTTTGAAGAAAAATCTTCACTTCCAAATTCTGACGAATTTCAAGAAACTTTTCAACACTTTGCACACTGACAACATGGAATCACAAATTTCGAGTTCACGTTTTATTATATCACGTTTCCCTATATACGTTTTGAAGCCCTGCGATGTACATCCCACTGGAAGAGTCTCGAAGCGTGCTTCATCCGTGTTAGATCGATTTTACCGGTCGAGCTGCGATACTCGGTTCAATTAGCAATTTTAACTTCGAACTGAAATTCCCGAAGCAGTTAAGTCCACGTCGCCGTTCTCGCGGCTTAAGAAACGAAATCGTCGGGAACACAGGATCGAACGTGCCCGTTCACCGGTTTATTATCCAGCCGAATGCAAACTGCTGGAATTTTAACGAGCCAGCCATTGTGCAGCTCCTGCCACACTTGCCAACCGTTTGCTGGCTCGTTAAAATCCGGACAGCTTATATTCGTTGAAAGTGTTTGGAAACCGACTAACTTCGGTTCCATGACTTGGACACGAACTGGAATTTCGTACGAGACCACCGATTCCACGATAAATTACCGGACCGATCGAATTTCAACGAAAATTTTCATTCTATCGAATTTCAACGAAAATATTACACTAGATTTCTCTCAACTCTAACTCTCAAACACGCGATTCTCTACTCGCCATGTCTCGACAATACGCATTCTGCCTCGACCGCGCCCTTGCACTCTTATTTAAAGTCTAACACTCTCTCTTTTCGTACGCAAGCTCTCTTCTTTGATCGCTCATTTCCCACGCAACCTTGCCCTCGACCTGGGCCAGGTACTTCAAACACTCGGACACATTGCTAGACTTTCGTTCATTGCTTGCACTCGACTCGGTCCTAAATATCTCATCCATACAATTCTTGCGCGTGGTCATCCGTCTGTCCGCATGATACCTTAAACGCCTAAGCCGGACCCGATACCGCTCTTAACGCTCAGTCACCATTTAATCAGATTCTAAACATGAATGTTAATTAATATATCAAATTTACAATTATCCAACGATGCGTGGAATATCGAAGTAAAATAATTCTACGTCTTAATTTGCAAACGATTTCTTATTTACCGTTTTAAAAATATCGTCAACTTTATGACAGAAAGTCTTCAAATTACTATTTTTCTGCAACGAAAAAATCGCCGAGTGCAAAGGGTTAATACTATTTCCTTTGCTATAGTCCTTCCCAACTCACAATAACACAAATATATCTTAGAATAAACTCTTATCCCCTTTTATTTCCTGTATTTGCCAATCAAGAGTATCCCTGCATATATACTATAATTTCTCTGACTCCCTCCCCCAATCCTACAATACTGACAATCCCACAAGGGAGTAAAAACTTAATCCTTTGTTACAACAGCCAAGGAGGGAGATATGCAGCCATGTTGGATACCGAGGCATGCGCAATGGGCGATTGGAGTTCGTGGAGCTCGTGCACCAAGACCTGCGGTACCGGTCACATGACCAGATCGCGAAACTTTCTAGACAAGAAGCATCGTAAACAATGCAAATCCATCCCCGACGGGCCAGAACTTCAACAGACGATCGACTGCGAGAACGTTCCGTGCGCGGACAAGGATGAGCAGCAGGTAAGCGAGACATCTAGCCAGACGGAGGCGAATGATAACAATCAGGACGATGATGACAATGGTGAAGTAATGGGTTACGAAGGAGACGAAACGTCGGAGGAGGTAACCAGCGAACGGCCGCAGGTACAGAACCTCTGATAGTTTGCAAGAACTTATTAATTGCCGGCTAACTAGCGGAAAGCGGACGCGCATGACAATTGCCTGTGGCTCATCGGACGCGTGAAAACAGGACGAGGATAATGTTGGAGTACTGAAATCGCTTGTACGCGAGAATTTAATAAGCTTGGCTTCTTGTTTCACCGTTTTTTTTTTCTCAACTCCTCTTATGATGTCTTTTATTCGAATAAAATGGAGATTTTGACATGCACATGTCTCATGCAGGCAGTCTAAATTGTCCGAGAGTTGAATTCTCTTGGATAAAGGGAATAAATTGGATAATTTCACTTTGGATATCTTCGAGTAATTGTTAGTTTTCACTTTAATGCACGAGAGGCGCCCTTCAATCGTCATTTGATAAAATTTCAAAGTTCGATACTCATTGATATGTCAAATTTAAGATAATGTAACGGTGTGCGAGGTATCGAAAGCAAATAATTCTATGTGTTAATTATCACACGAATTCTTATTTATTGCTCCAAAAGATATCGTCAGCTTTAGAGCAGAAAATCTTAGAACTCTTACTCTTCTTTAGCTAAAAAATCGTCGAGTGCAGTGTTAAAAATGTAGCAATAGCGTATTTTTTTGTTAGAAATTGATCTTTATTTATTTTTATTTTATTTTTATTAGCTCTTTTTGTTAGAAACTCCTTGAGAAGATCTTGAGAAAATCATTCTGAGGTTGAGATATGTTTTAGAAGGCTGTCAATAAAGTTTGCTGACACTCGTGTACAAGTGGTCTTGCTTAGAAAATTATCAGGATAATTGATATGAAATATATTATATTTTTTATTGGAATTTAGAAGTAATTAGGCTTGCTGGTTGCAAATAATAATTGAATAAAATTTCTTGCTGACATTTTTAATTGCATTTAATCTAATAATAATATAAATACTACTTTTTTAATTCTTTAATCAATTTTCTAGTCAAAGACAAGTTAACTCGTCCTGGTGTATCGAATACTTAACATATAAGCTGTCATGATGATATAGGGAGTTAAACAATAAATTTTGAAGAAATTTTAACGTATGGAATATGCATTCTCCATCGACAATTTGTTAGAGGTATAATTACATACATCACGGGTAACAATGTGCAACAAATTTTAACTTTCTCGTAAATTTGTAATATCCATGGAGTAACTTCCACAGAGCTTACCTACCGTAATACAAATCCGTAAACGAAATTGCTTTATCAATGCAATTAATTCGTGAATTACATGCACGCATTATAAAAACCATACCATTAGGTATGTTCACATATAATTTTTGTTTATATTTTACTTCTAGTTTTGCTCATAATTAAATATTTTAACGAAAAGTTATAATAAAACAATTTCGTTGCAAATTCGTATTCGCGAAAGTAAACTTTACAAGAATTACCTAATGGATATTACATTTTAAAATTCGTATTTAACAGTATGATCAATCTAAATACAAGGAAATAAACTTTTTCAATATTTAAAATTTAATTTTTATGTTAATATTTGTGACAAAAGCTTAAAAAGGGATTCGTAAAAATTTGTCAGGTGAAAGATCAATGAAACCATCATTTTACAAATTTAGATGTTTCTAACTAATTTCCAAAATATTTGATAAGAATGGGAAAGAAAGTTGTAGAATTGTTTCGCTCCCTTTTATAATCATCGATGATATCGAATAATGAAAACAATCATTCGTCGTCGTTCATAAAAATTATTAACAAATTATCGAACTCGATCATCGCAGCAACAATAATGATCGAATCATTATTAACGAATCTCAAAATGTTCAGAATAATTATTCCATGCGCAAGTAACTATAAACCATACCTACACCATTCTCGCAGATCCATCCATGGTATTCTGGCATCTTCACGTAAGTCGAGCGATTTATTTGCGAAAAAAGTTTATTTTATTTAAACAAATTATTTTTTCTTACGTAAAAATCAACGAAATGGAGTAATTGGAGTTAAAGTTAAATTCCCGGATGCACAGCAAGGAAAATAAGAAAATATCCAAACTTGCAGAAAGAACAAGATTAAGATCATTTATTATTATAATTATTTATTAAAATAGATCATTTTTATTAAAACATTTTCGTCAATGGATATAATCTTCGATAATTCTTATTTCTACGTTTGTTGTCGTTTTAATAAAAATCGTTTTAATAATGATCTTAATAAAAAAGATCATTATATAATTATTTATATTATATAATTATTTATCAAAATAGATCATTTTTATTATAACATTTTCGACAATGGATATAATCTTCGATAATTCTTATCTCTACGTTTGTTATTGTTTTTGCTATTACTTTCATTGATACCGTTTCTATTCGTACATCCTTATTAATACTTTTTCGTCAGTTTCTTCTTCGAAATTACGAGATAGGATCTATTAAATATATAGTACAGAATTTTCTAAAATTATTTTTCCGAAAATAATTTCACTCACAGTATTCGCTCTATTTGTCATTTCACATATCACGCAATAACGTCATTGTCTTGACTGCATATTGTCTCGCACCGATATCGAATTTTTAATAAACGCTTTACATCCGTTCTACGTGGCATTGTTCATGTGGTACTATTCATGGCATATTTTCGCCTGTCGTAATAGACTGACTGGCTACCATTTTTGTTTCTTCGTAAATAACAGATTATGCATAAATAAAGGAAAATTAAAATGAAAGGCTATTAAAAACTGACTAATGGTAATTAATTATTAATTCTCAGTTTAACCCTTTCCACATGGTACTGTTTATGTAGGTATATTAGAAAATTATATTATCGAATAAATGTCGAGTAAATTGTAATAACTTACGTTGCTATCATCGTATTAGGAAATTAAAATTATTCGTTGGTAAAGATTTTAGATATCGCGAAGTTTAAATGGAAATAATTACAAGTTGACGCTATCCTGTTACAAAATTAATTAAAGCAAACGAGAGTTAAGTGTGAAGGGTTAAATACGGATTACAGAAATCTTAGAATTTCAGTCAGACATCTAATTAATTTATTTCCGGATTAGAATTGCGCCGAGGAGCGTTACACGCAATGGTCCCTATGGTCCCCATGCAGTTCTACCTGTGGTCCCGGAGTCCAATTGAGGTCAAGGCTTGTGAATAAGAATTGGAGCACTATGGAGGACAACGACGAGGAGGATATCGAGGAGTGCAAGCTGCAACAGGCTGCCTGCGTGGCCAGCATTCCAACGTGTGACTTCACAAAGGAAGAAGCAGAAAGTAAGGAAATCGAGGAAATACGAACTGATTTTGCGTGTATGGTAAAATCAATGTTGCTCTGGTCGTTTGTTTCGTAACAAATCAATAAAGAATTTTCTTCAATTTCCCGATTATTAAAGTTCTTGGTTATTTCTAGTTATTGATTTATTTAATTAGTTGTAAATTAATGATTTGTTACTAAACTACACAGTGTAACTTTGCTCAGGATAAATGTTTACACAAAATTTATCTCGCTATTGCGACAAGTGTAAAAGAAATTTTCACAAAATATTCGTCTGATTTCAGAAATTTGCAATGAACCGATGAAGAAAGGGCAATGCAGTGGTAACATCTTACGTGCCTATTTTGACAAAGAAACGGGTCGATGTCGTTTCTTCAGTTACTCCGGCTGCGATGGAAATAGAAATAATTTCCAAACTGAACGAGATTGCCGAAAAGTTTGTGGTAGTTTTCAAAGTAAGTTTCGCTTCTTGATTTAGGCAACTTTCGCGTATCTTTATTCAAGGAGCTTTTCGATAAGATCTCAGTCTTAATCGGTACTCTGAGAATTTTAATTCTACTCCATAAAAACTGCAAGATGAAGACAAAAGGAGCCCAAGATGTTTGCTAGAAATAAAAGTTTTCAGTAAGGTATATAAATTAACTCTGCATTTTGTTTTCAAAGTTAAACAAAATCTTACAATCAATCAATAGGTCAACACCGGTACAATTTGAACGTTTAACAAAGTTCAATGGTACATAATTGATGTTTTAAAGAGAACAGAATCCTGCTGTACGAATAAATTTCTTCAAGAAATTTTCATAATGACTGAAAGTTACAGCAAATATAGAGAATTATGACCTACATTTTTAACAAAATCTCCATCTTTATTCTGTGCACGCTTGCTTCTGAAACAAACATAGGAGAGTTAAGGACAAACACGTCGACTATGACAAAAAACTATAAGGTATCTCTCAGCAGCGTTCTCAGCTATCACATACCTGCACAGGAGCAACGCAGCACGAAGACAAAACGTGCTCACCATGGTGATGCTAACTAGCAAACTGCATTATTTTAACTTACAAATTGAATTTCAAGTTTCTTCAGTTCCTATTTCAAATGTCAAAGAAAAAAGAGAAGGGATAAGGATAAAATATAGTTATACCTTTTTCCAGCGCGTTTATCTTGTGTGTATTTCTAATAGAATTATTAACGTCACATTTGAAGGTCTTTCAGTGTTCCTCATAAGCTTTAGATATATCTGCAAATGAATTTAATATGTTATAGTCTATTGTTAAGCCTACTATTTAATTATTCAAATTTGCAAACGACATAATGCACCGGTTATGTTCCCGTTGATTATCCTTGTAATTGTGACATCACGGAAGACTTTGAACATCATTAGAAATAAATCGTTAAAAATTCATAAGACATCGACGAACAATTTCAATGTTAATTTAACGTCGATTTCGTCTATTGAAAATTCTCAAGACCTTTTTTCTCAAGACCTTTCTTCTCAATTCGTATGCTTTCTTATTCATTTTTCTTTCTATTTTGTATTCAAGGTTATATATGAATTAATAATAAATTCAGTGAAATTTTATATTCAGCTTCCTCGTAAATTTATACTTTTTTAAGCGTAATATGCAATACGCAATATGTTCTTACAGAGAAATTAGAATTCAAAGGCATACAACCAGACAGTCAAGTGGTGGAATCATCTGATAATACTGAAGATGTCGACTGTCTGGTATCTGAATGGAGTAATTGGTCTAAATGTGTAGGATGCCGTGGATATACAGTTAGAACAAGGGAAATTATGGTAAATAATTATTCATATTCAAAAGAAAACAGTAACAGTGAAGATTAAATTATATTTTTATTTTATTTGATGAATAACTTATCCTTTAATGTTTTCAATATTTTCACGTTCTTTACAATGCCACTTTTTTTTCTTAATGAAATTTATAATTTTAAAAGTATTGTAGAAATGTACAACTGTATTTAATTTAAATAATTTAGGTACCACCTAAAGGTAATGGTAAAAAATGTCCAAAAAAATTGCATCGGAAAAGAAAATGCCACAAAATTCCACCATGTTGTAAGTACTGTTAAAATAAAATTATTTGATTAAATTTACTTGGAAATTGCCTAAAAAAAAGTAAAATTCGTAGCTTTACAAAGTGACGGACCAGGACGTCGTACATATCGTGATCGAAATGTAGGACCAGAAGAAAATCAAAGTAAGTTTTGATTAATTTCGTATTATTTAAAAATTTAATGCTTTAATCATTTACTACTAACATCGTGTTCTATTATATTGCAATTTAATTTTTCAATTAATAATTAGTATTCCACAATTTACATTTTATACAATTTATATTTTAATAATTAATTTTTTATTTTCTTATTTAAATTGCATTTATTTATATAAATATAAAACAAAATAAGATTTAAAAATAATAACTTACAAAATAAATTCATCAAATATTTCTTAATTTAAAATTTATTAAAAATATATTACATAATTTTATAATATGGTCTATTTAAAAGTATACAGCGTTGAAAACATATCAAGATTGAAAGCATATCTTCATATGTTTTTTATGTAAATATATAAAAAATTAATCTACATAGTAAAGTTTACAAGCCAAACGATCATGAAATAACATACATTTCGAATTAACATAATATAATAATTAATAAAAATTAGTTTCAGTTGACTGCAAAATGACACAATGGTCTAGTTGGTCATATTGTGCAGCTACTTGTGGGCAAACATCACAATATAGAACAAGAACAGTCAAAGTCCAACCAGTTGGTCCAAAAGGTAAACTGTGTCCTACTTTGGTAGAGTACAGAAAATGTCATACAATGGAATGTCTATAATAATATTTATTGATACTTTTTGTATATTCATTTTTTTTATGTTACCGTTACTTTTAAACATATTTGAATCTCAAATCTTGCTTATGTATCATTAAATCAAGCATAATAGTAATTTAATATGAAATAGAACTTTGCTATTACAATACAACAAAAAAACTATTATAAAACAATTCATTAAATTTTTTATAATGATATATTATTTAAGAAATGAAATATAAAATTTTAAAAATGATAATGAAAATGAAATAATGAAATTTTTCAAAAAATTTATGGATACTATAAATAAAGTATGACAATCAATTTTAAGTATTATTTAATTACATTATAATGTTACAATTTTGGCTTTAAAAATGCTTGATGGATTGATACATAATGGTTTGAAATAAAAATTTTCATTTAATCTTTTTTATCACTTTAATTGTGACATTTAAAATAAAAAAACAATTATGTTCAGATAAACTTGTTGTGAGATATATATAGATTATTACCACATCGAATATATGTATATTTAAAATATTCCTTTGTTTGTAGATAATATAAAATATTTACATTGAATTTTAAAACAATTAATATAACACAACGCACAAAATATTGTGCTACAGTTTTTGTTTATTTTTGTTTTATTTCCTCTAAATTATTCAACATTGAAAATCGACACTAATAGATGTGAATTACAATTCTCTTGTAAAATGAACTATGTAGTTAACTTTACTTGTATGCAATAATGCCTTTTTCAGTCAGAAATTAATCATAAAAAATTATGTTATCAGGGTTTATAGTAGAAATATATATAAATAAATATAATTCATATTAAGTAATTAATTAGATTACATATGAATTCCCCAAAATAAGCAAATACAAAAAGGAACAATATATGTTTAATAATAATATCTATTTATCTGTATGAGTATTATCATGAAATATATACTTGTGGCATTTATAATATAAGATTTAAGAAAATATAGATCTCAATTTAAGACCAAATATTTCAATTAGTGTTTATTAAAAGTGTATACTTAAGACTTAAGTAAAATTAATTCAACAAATTCTATCAACATGGAAGAAATATTTGTAAATGAGGAGTACTATTGATTCTTATACGCTATTATCCAAAAATTTGATCTAATAAATAAAATAAATGTAACACTATATATTTATATTTCAAATAATTGTAATATATATAGTTTCTCATTTTCTCTGATCACCAAAAATACTTTCATTGCTTTCAAAAATTTAAAAGATCAATAAAAATAGATTTTAAATTTTATAGAATAATTAAAACTTATATTTCTTTAATTTTATGATCATAAAAATTTCTTTTAAACAAAATCATATTTATATATATTCATCATGTATGTATCATATTATAAATTACACTAAGTAATAAAAATAAAATAATTTTGAAATCAAATTTTGCAATCATATCAATTTTCTTGTTTCATATTTTACTTCAGATAATTTAACAGAAATATTAATATCAATCTATTAAATTTTTGGATAATAGTATGTTACATATCGCTAGATAATAAGACCATTATTTACTGATAAATACAGTTGTGTTAATTTCTTCACGTATATCTGACAATAATACTGTATACAACATGATATAAAATGAAATTCAAAACTCTGCTTTTTTTTAATATAATAATCAATATATAAATAACTATTATTTATAGTGAAACTCGTCATAAACATAACGTTTATTACTTAATATTTGTTGAAGAGAAAAGAGTGATAAAAACATGTTTCCAAATATTAATATTTATTTTTTAAGGCACTTTTCTACAAATCCGTGGCAAAAAATCGATTTTTTAATATTTTTATCATTTTTCAATTTTTTATTGTTGATACGTTCAAAAATATGTATGCCAAGCTGGTCAGTGAAATTTGTAAAAGTAACGAAATTTTAAATGCCCAAGCACGAATACATGAAGTGAGAAACTGCAAAACAAAGAAGATTCCAAAGCATTGTTATTTTAATTATTCATGGTTATTGCTCTCTATATCCTTCTTTTGATGCATATTATAGTTGCTTTGTTAATAATTTACAAAAATATTGTACTTTATCGTCCCAAAATAGATTGATAAAATATAAGACGTACGTATTTACATAAAGCAACTTTATCTCGTAATTATACAGATTGATGTTCATACTATGTTGAACTGGCTGACTTGATATCTTAAATTTTAACTGATCAATCGACTTCACATCGGAACTAAATCCTCAGAAGATATGCTTTCATCGTCAGAATAACGGATTTTAAGATCTAACGTATTTTTGTACCTTTTTTCTTTCTTTTTTTTTAATCTTGAAAGATAAAAAAAAATTAGAAAAAAGAGGAACATATTTTAACTTCAGAGTAAACATAATTTTTCCTTTCCCATAATTCAGATCATAACTGCACCTTTACTAATCAAAATGCATTTTGATTTTTTCGTTTTTGATAAACAGAACAGTTTATATCATGTCAGCCATCCGAACACGTTTTTTAAACCTACTCGTACATATCATTATATAATTCATACAATTTTCACTATTTTATATTGAAAAAAGTTGTGAGTATTCTCAAAACATGAATAAATGAAATAATAAAAACCTTATGTCAAGAAATTTTATACTTCTTTTGAAAAAGATTCTCAAAAACATTTCTTTTTAGGCCAGATTTGTAGAAGACCTACTTAAAAGATCACTTTGATTTAAAGATAAATAGTTTTGAATCTCAGTTTAGCATTTCAAAGATGTAAGATATAATACAATAAATATGAAATTATAGTCCATTCTATTGTTCTATATTTTAAAGTACATAATTATAAATTATTACATTATATGTATTATTTTATTTTTTAATAAAATACAATAAATATTATACAAATATAGCATATGAATTATACTATAAAGTTTTATATAACATGAAATAATGCATATTAATTTGTATTAACTATAATAGGATTCCAAAGTACATTATTTATTATCATTCTCTAATGAAATATCTGTGTTGTCTAATACAGGAGAATATTTAAGTATAGTATTCGCCTTTTTTGACTTTTCTGTTAACAAAGTTCCTTGTATTTTCTGCTTGATATTTTGCAACAGTTCTTGCTAAAAAAATGATAAAACCAAAAATATTATTTTATTTTATTAATATTAATAAGTCTTCTCAATAAATAATATACACGGTAAACATTCAATTTAATGTATTTACCATCAACAATCAAATTATTAAATATAAATTTATAAATAAAATTATTTATATTACTTACTACTTCCTTTACCTTTACTCCATCAGGATGGTTAAAAAATATTTTAATATTATGTTTTTTTTTCAATAGTTTATTCATATTATTGACTTTTATCATTAAATCATGTTCTGTTATATAAGGTTTTATATTAAACAACTTAGTAGATTTTTTCCCAGTTTCTTCTTTATATGTTTTTGATTCTACATTTTGGAATTTATATTTTGTTGAAACATCTATAAGCTGATAAGTATTTTTACTACTTTTAGATTTATCAGATATAGGCACTAAATCAAAATTTGTCTGAATAGCTAATTTTTTTGCTTCTTCAAATGTAGTAATAATCACAGATTTATCTGGGTATATAAGTTTAATTTCAGATTCATTTACAAAACTGTTTTTTTCTTTTGTTGTTGTTACAATTTCTTTTATACTTAAGTCATTTGCATTATTAATACAATTTCTTGACTGGTACCACAAAAACTTATGTTCAATCCTCTGATTTATGTTATTATTACTTTTTATCAAAAGCAATTTACTTACTTCAAACATAAATTTAATCATTTCCAATAATCTTAATATTATTAATGCCACCAAATATTAGTTGTAACTAAAGTTACAATCTATACTTGAACGACAACAATTAAAGAATTAAGGTTAAGTTCGATATTTAATTAATATGCAAAAACAGAATATACAGTAATATAATATTTAAAATATATGGTTGCTTCAATTATTAAATAACATAAAATAATTATAACATTTTATTTTTAATTCTATCTTTTAACTTTATTTCAGCATAAATATTATAATCGCCATTTTTTTAGTTGTATAACTACCAAATTCACGTGTATAATATGATCAGAGCAACTAAGTACGGTTATGTATAATTACTTAACTAAATATAATTACTTAAAATAATCTCATTTTGGATATTTAAAAATATATTCAAAATAACATAAAAAATATTAAATATATTTCTCCAAAACTAAATACACTATTATCGATTACACAGTAATACTAAATTAATAATATTAAAAGTACATATTGTATATGTATTATTACAAAAATTATATAGAAGAATATTAAAGAATATAACTGATTCTTACATATTTAGTTTATAGAAAATAATGAAATCGTGAAATATAATTTTAAAGGCTTACAAGTAAAGTGTTTTGTATATATTTTTGGTGCATTTTCAATACATATAATTAGTACCTATATTTTTTATTTTCTAAATTTTTTATCTTTTGTTTATATCCATATTTCTGGTTTTTAATTTTATAATTGTTAATAATTTTCTTATTAAATAATTTTTGTTATTCATTTATGATTTCATACATTTAGTTATGTTTTACATTTGTATGGATATGTCATACCAACATTTAAAATTTTAAACAACTGTAAATATTAGATTAACCATATATCATTCTAATATAGAGTTGAAATATTAATATACGTTATTACTTTTTTACAATAAAATCAATATATTTATCTATCATATTATTGCATTCAAGAATTAATCTAATTGAAATTTAAAATATATGAATTTAGTTTGAACATGATGCTAAATTATAATTATTATATAGATTTTAATAAATAAATATATAAAATAAATACATTATTATTTTATGAAATCTTAATATAAAGATCGCAATCTTAAAAAGATAAAGAACTTTAATTTCTTTTTGTAATAAAATTTTCAAAATGAATGTGAAATGCAAATTGAACAGTGTGTATTGTGTTGGAGAGTATAAACTTGAACACACCTTAAATGAAATTATAAGAAGTTAAAAAAATGAGAAAAAAAATTATAATTAGTCTCTAAACCTTAGTTAAATAAATATGGCGATTTCATAATGGGTTAATATAAAAATACAAGTACTTAGTTGCTGGTTATCCAACATACGAAGTATTTCTCATAATATATACGCTCATACGCGTTAGTTAAAGCATTCGTAATGCGCAAGTCGTTTAATAAATATGCGATTTATATTATCATTGTGTCCTTGCTGCGTAGGTGGGCGATTATCTCAATAAGTAGGACAATTTTGACAGGAAAACTTGGTTAGTTGGGATTAAAGAAGGTAAAAGAATACCTTATTTTTATGACAATTAGTAATATGAGAAACTACGTAGAGAAAGAATGTGTAAAATCAGATTTTTGATGAATGTGGAAGTAAACAAAGTCTAAACCATGAGTTGGTTACGAAGTAGTCCTTTGAGAACTAGTTTTAGTAAGCAACGTTCAAGAGATTCTCCACCAAAAGACGCCGATCCATCAGCATGTTATGACAGTTTTTGTAAACATTGGCAACAAGCGTACGAAATTATTTTACGTACATCAGTAAGTTCAATATTATAGGTATTAATAAAAATTAAAAAATTATTCAAACATCATTTGTTTCCATACATTTAAAAATTTTGTAATGTTTGTAAATAATTTTAAAGTGAATAACACAAAACTGTAAAGAATTGCAATTAAATATTTTATTACATTTCTATAGCCACCCAAAGGAATATGTAATCAAGATGATGTTCTTGGAGTTGTTAATCATGTAGATCAGATGGTAACACTTTTAGTTCTAGAATTACGAGATTTTAACTTTTATAATAACTATCGACAGTCTACTACAGCAACGCACTCTCCTTGTTTGGAATATTTATTAAGTGAAAATCTTCTTGTTAAACTTTATGATTGGAATAGACATAGTGGAAGGTAAAAATTTGCCAAGTAAAATTGATAAAAATTTGTGATTTGACTTTGTGTTACAATAATTAAGTATTAAGTATTATTTAGTATAAATATTGCATTATTAATTATAGTTTATCATAAAAATATATAACATTACAGATTCAATAATGCTGTCCGTCTGGAACAATTAAAACTATATGAACTTTTAGTGTCACATAGTGGAACTCTTCTTGCTCATGAACCTGTTGCTAGACCATTATTGCGATTACTTGAAGATTGTGCAAATGATATTATGCCATTAGAAATAGAAGAAAAATTAGTAGTATTATTAAATCAGTTATGTGTTGCTTTAATGCAAAACATGGCATTACTTGACTTATTTTTTCATCCAACAGCACTAGGGAAAAACAAGTTAGTAAATTATATATACTTATTTATATATAATGTACATATTATGCAAACAGCACAATGTATAGTTAATGTTATATGTTATATTGTATATTAAATAGTTAGTGAAATTATTTTCCAAATTTTTCCAGATTTATTATTTTTACATTACTAATACCATATGTTCATCGAGAAGGTGGCGTAGGACAACAAGCACGTGATTCTATGTTACTATGCATGTCTCTTTCCAAAAAAAATGATGAAGTTGGCATGTATATTGCTGATCACTCTAACATATGCCCTGTATGTCATCTTTGTAAAAAATTAAATTTATGTAAAAGTAGAAAATAACATTAATGATAATACTAATTGAAAAAAGATTTTTTTTTATAAATATGATTTTCAATTATATATTTATTAGCTTACATCACTATACTCTTAAGATACTAATGAAGTCTTCATTTATACAATAATTAGGTATTAGCTACAGGTTTAAGTGGGCTATATTCATTGCTGCCAAGAAAATTAGATATTGAAACCGGTGATTGGCATCGATTGACACCAGATGATGTTAATGATTTACCAGCATTAATGCACCTCATGAATTCTTTGGATTTTTGTAATGCTGTCGCACAAGTTGCACATCCTTTGGTACAAAAACAATTACTAGAATTTTTATATCATGGTTTTTTGGTACCTGTGATGGGACCAGCCTTGTTGCAGGTGAGTGTAATATACATACATACATGTATAACTTATAATTTCTTTGAAATGGCAACATTTGCTTAGATTTTAATTTAGATGTAGCGGATTATTGTGCAAATGACTTATAGATGAATATTAAAAATTTTAATATATTTATTTTGTAACTTAAAATTAACTTATAACGGATAATTATTATATATGCATAGATTATGTTTATAATAGATTGCAATATCTTTTTACTTTACACATATATGTGGTGAAAGAAGGTATTTGCAAGTTATTTATTTAAAAATGAAGTATGGTTAGCTATTATGAAAAATACAAATATACATTTCTTATTCCATAAATTAACTTTTCTAAATGTTTGAATATGTTGATGATCTGGTCTTTTTTGGTTCTTACTTAATTCCAATTATTCCATGTTATTCTAATTTCTTTCTTATCTAAAAATATCAAATACATAATGGTAATTGGTATATTGAATTAAATGCAAAGTTTATTAATGATTTTTATTTAATAGATTCTTATAGGTACATATAGATGTGTTATTAAATGCATATAACATTGTCAGTGTGGTGATGGTAAATGTAAACATTAATACCTAGTACTAATTAAGTATTAATAATAATGCTAATAAAATTCGAATCATTTATGTTGCGATATGGTTGTTGGTGGCTATCCGGTGACATGTTTATGGTGCTCAGGATTCTGTTGGTTTGACCATAGAACAACTAGATGCACAAGAACATTGGGTTAGTACAAAACACTATAAGTAGTGCATCAAATTTGTTCAGTGTTTAAATTTTCAGTAAAGCCTAAGTCTATAATTAACTTATTTATTATAATATATATTCATTATAATATATAATAGAATTCTGAGATATTAATAAAAATATATAAATCTTGATCATTTATTTTAACATAACGTTTTTAATGTTCTTTATTGGTACAAATAAAAAAGTGTTATTTGATAATAAACAAAATATTAAATAATAATATTTTAACATTACATAATATTTGTTACATTTGTTACGTGTATAATACTAACAATATTAATATTGTTGTTATTGTTATTGTTATTATTATTATATAAGTGCAGGCTTAAGCTTTCACTGAAATATTATATTTAATTTCAATACACATTTGATACACAAAGCTTTGTAAACATTTTATAAATCACATAAATTATGTTATACATTATCTAAAATCATATGTTTGATGGCTTGGCATAAAATATTTAAAAAAACATATTTTTTATAAAAATCATGTTTTTTATACATAAATTCTTGAATGTACTATTTTATAATCATTAAAAAGAATTTGATTTATATTTTTATTATTGGTGTATCTTTATTTTTAAATTGTATTCATTAAATTTAAAAAAATTTAACGTATTTATGTTTTCATATTTTTGTTTTTTGTTATATTTATTAAAATATGTGATTTAAAATTTTATTAATTGAATTAAAATTATTAATTGAATTTACAAATTTACAAATCTTTATAATTACAGTATTTTCTTCTTTTTATTTCTATAATGTGTTTTGTATATCATGTAAGAACAATGAATTGTTGATTGCTTTCAAGAATTTCTTTGCAGAATTGAGAAATCATTGCTTTTTATTACATCTATGAAGCATAATTGTTAGCATTTGTAATCAATTCAAATATAGTATAAGATATATAGTTTTTACTAGGACTAAATAAATTATTATGTATTTTCATTTAATTAAACAATTGTAAAATTTTATTCAAAATGTTTCTCTAAACAGCTAAATATTAAAAATTATTATATACATTTCTCCTTCAATAAAAATGATTTTTATATACATATTATATACATTTCTTTAAATTATGTATATTTTATCAAAATATATTATATTTGAATTTTATAACTATTCATAAAACTATTTACACTTATATTTAATGAAACTTTGATGTTAGACAGAAACTATTTTGCAGTAGATTAGGTTCAATGTGTGTTTATTTTTAACCAAATTAATTTATTATTGACATGTTTGTTTGTGAATACTAATATCCTTCTTTTACCACAAAATAAAATTTTAATACTAGATTCGATACATCTTAAACATAATTTTAACATTTTTATTAATAATTGCTTATTTATAAATTTTTAATTTCTAATGTATTTTATATATCTAAAATTTTATATTTTGAAAAATTGTTAGTCGTTTGAAATTATTATTCAATTTTTAATTAATTTAAACTATGAAATAGTTGATGTATATGTAAAATTATAGGTAAGGAATTTTATAATATTACAGACAACAGTGGATGAATTAGTTGCAGCAACAGCTTATTTTGACCTATTTCTTCGTTCTGTAACTGAACCTGGTCTTTTACGTTCATTCGTTAGATTTTTGCTTGAAGATAATTATGATGAGTGCAGAATATTGGATAGTCTTATTCAAAGGATATCTTCTAGATCACGGGTATATTTTCCACTTTTATTATTTATTATGAAAATTACAGTGTTTCTTTTACTAACAATGATATGTATTAAGAGATCACAAAAGTTCTTTCTTTTTTTTAGCTGTGTCTAGTAACATTGGGACTATTTGAGACTTTAGTCAATTTAAATTGTGAAGATATTATGCTAGAATTGTGTTTAGGTGCATTGAGCCCTTGTTCTCATGTAATGCTTTCACAACGTAGAAGATTAAGGGATATAGATCCATTTGGACGTGCAGCTGAAAAGTTTCTTTCTTTAACACCAAGTTGTTGTTCGCCACTTACATATATAAATTCTCAATTCAGTTCTTTACCTAACAATACAACATATGAAAAACATTCAAATACTACATCTGAAACCTTAAAATCATTACCAGCATCTATAAATTATGGTGTCAGATTATCAGACAGTCTTTATGGAAATTATCATGCATACTTATGTGATGCTCGACAAAAAATAAGAGCTTGCCGAATTGCATGTTCCAATTGGTCATATCAATACAATGGAGAATTACCAAAAGATAGTACTACTAGTAGTGCAACTACTTTAATAGATGATAATACATTATTAGATCAATCTCAGAAGAAAACTGAAACAATTAAAGATTTATCATTAGAAACATTAAAAGAATCAATGCTTTTCAATGAAATTAATGAAAATTTATCAGTAGATAATATATTAGTTAATATTCAGACATTATTGGGTGGAAAAGATTTAAATGCAGTAGAAAAAGAGGTAAAAACAGAATTCTTTGCTACAAGGAATGTAGAGTTATCATTAGAAGAACAAGCAAAATTGGATGCGGATATAGCTGAATTGTTAAATGAAGATATTGGAATATCAGAGTCTGTTAAGGAGATGTCAGTAATAGATAAAAAAGAATTAGATAGCGGTATTGATGATTCAAACACTACTATGAATTCACTTTTATCGTTAGGGGAAAGTAGTGGCTATGAAAGTTGTGCATTTAAAGGTTCATTGCAGTCGACTCCGGATAACGAACCTAGTGAAGATCGAATAAGTGAACATGAAGAAATAGAAATTGAATCGAATAAAGAACAAGGTATATTTCTTCATAGCATCATAGAATCAATTACACCAGAAGAATTAACAGCAAACAAACAAAATAAAGAAAATTATCGCCAAGATGTATTTAATGGACAACCAAATGTCGGTATATTTTTGGATGTTCTTTTACGAAAACTTGAATGCATGACAAGTAATAATTTATATGTCAATTTACATCTAACTGGTCTTATCAGCAGATTGGCAATATATCCGCAATCCTTATTACAATCATTTCTATTGAATCATTCACTGGTATTTCAACCCAGTATTAGATCATTGTTTCAGGTTTGTAATTGTACAAATATCTTCCTTATAAACATACTTTACAAATAATATATTATTTCGTAAAAAAATTTATGTTTTATCAGGTACTTGCATCTTTAAAACATAAAATAGATCAATTTCTTGTGCAACATAATAATGTAGATATATTGGTTGAACAAGCGCGACTATTTTTAATTAATCGGGAAGATAAATTAGTGAATGCAAGAAAGAATGTATTAGAAGCTGCTGCTCATTCTGCTCCTTCTAAAAGAAATTCTTTAAGTGGAGAACCATTCTTAAGAGGTATGATTTATTTTATGATTATTCAAAACAGAAATTTTTATTTCATATTTATACTTCACTAATTATATATACACACACACGCACACACACATATATAAGCTAATATATTATTGTTTACAATTGTCATGCATTATGGAAGTATTCAAACGATGTGGGTATAATAACTATTTATAATTAAGAATAATGTATGAATATTACATTTCAAAAATATATATCTGAAAATTATATTTTTAGGTGAAAGTAAGAGATGGAGTTTAACATCATCTTTTACACAAATGCTTAGAAGATCAAGTGGTAATTCCGGTCCAAGTAGTTTAATTAATACCACCAATCAATCAACTGGTATATCAGAAAACCAATTAGAAGCTATTGGACATGGTTCCGGATACCGGTAAATATTTTATGATATATATGATATATATCATAAATGAAAATATGATACATATTTTATGATATTGCTTAATAAAATGATTAAAATCCAGTAAATTACAATTACAACTAATGTTTTAAAAATTCCTTTCTATGAAAAGTATAATAATGTAGTAAAATTTGTTGTTAATTAGATATTACACAAAAACGTCCTGGGAATCTCCAAATGAAGTAAGTCCAGTACAAAATGTGGTCTTATGTGCAGTTGTATTAGATGAATGGCTAAAAGAGTTAGCCGCTATTACACAAGAACATGCCATTATATCTCTTACAAATAATTTGGAGTTTAAAGTTTAATATGTAAGAAAATTTAAGTATACAAATTAAAATTCATCTAACAATAGACTAATTCTACTCAAAATATATTTTCCTTCTTACAGGGTTTTAATAAAGTAATATGTGATATACTGCTAGACTTACATATAACAAATCATATCATCAAGTATAAAATGTTCATCTGGGGTTATTAAATAGAATATCAAGATATGTAGAATATTGCTACAGGCACAAAAATAATGTTTTTTATTTTATACCTGTAAATAGATTAGTTTCAAAAGTTGTATATTTATATGTTTTTAACGATGTCCATTTTAAACATTAGTTATTTTGAAATTGTATTAAAAAAATATATGTAAAAAAAATTTTATTCAATAGGCGTCTCTAAAATACTAATAATTAATGTTTAAATAATAATAGCAAATCTTATCGCGAAGACTGACATTTAGAGCAATTTCCTATACAATATTCACATATTACATTATTAAACTATTTAATAACATTTTGCTACTTATATTATCGAATCAGTTTATTTGAAATTATATTTAAATTTTTGTAATAATTCACGATCATAAATAGTTCAAAAACGTACAGATAAATACAAAAAAGTGCCAAGTTATTACTTTAATATGTTATATAATATAATTCATATTTTGGAAATTATTCCAAAAGTTTAAAAAATTTAACAATTAAATTATTATTATGGCAAATTGATTTTATTTCAAAAATAAAGAAATAATGCATAGTATATTTATAAATTTTGCGCTATCTAACAATGCATAATGTATGATAATTACATAGTCTGTTATTAGTGTACTTAATTTAATATATAATTACTGAGTAATATATATTTATAAATATGATTTAAAAGCTTGCTAGCACAAAATATTATATAAGTATAAATATTATATGTGAAATAATGAATTTTTAAATGATTAATCAAAAATATGTCTAAAATCGAAAGCTAACTGAAATTAACAATTTAAAATTCGTTTCATAATAATTTCATTCCATATCTTTATTTTGAACACTGTAATATTGTATGTAAAGTAAAAACTATCTCATTATGCAATTTTATATTCAGTATATTAAGTATACAATCAGCAAATTTTTGTAACATTTGAAGTAAAACAATAAGCACAATTGCTTATTTTGATAATGGAAGAAATGTTAATATTTATCAATAATGCAATATTATTATCCAGCTATAAAGTATTTACCTATGTATATATAAATAACATAAAAATTCAGTTACTAATGCAAAAATTAACACATATTGAAATCAGTGTTAATATAAGTAAAATTACCAGCACATTGTGTTAATTAAAAAACAATCAAATTCTGTTTATTATTAGAAAACATATTTCTTTATCACTTTCAAATTTGTATTTAGTATAAAATACTTGCTGCAATGTGATATTAAACTAGGCTATTGAACAATTGTGTTTATTAAAATACTTTAACCTTGCTTTTATTTCAAATATCAAGATGTATGTTAATTTAATTAAGTCTTTAAATTAACAATTTTGTATCAATATAATAAAATGTGCTTGAAATGTTTGAATCTAATGCATGTTGCAATATTATTTTATGTAACTTTGTTTAAATAATACAAAATTTATATGACTATTGTATCAATAATATATTAATATTGAAAAAATTCACAATATTTAGTTTTGGTAATAGTTTGACAATTTCTTACATAACAAATTTTTGTTATTAGTATATTTCACCAAAGACATGCAATATTTTCAAACAAAATTAATTGCTTGCCAACTTCTTGCAGATAATGTAATTTAACATCAGTTTATTATTTACTTTATTGTTATGTTTAAATGTGTTGATAAATTTACATAAATAGTCTATGATAATTATTACAAAAATGTGAATAATTCAGAATTGCATATATATAACTTCAATAGCATAACATTCAAATATTTAAAAAATATGTAATTAATTTTGTATTTAAAACTAATCTGTCATTTTTTCTGGAAAAACAAATATTATCTTTTATAAATTTATGGTAGTATATTAATTAAATTTTGTAATTATTTTATATACAGATTAAATGAATTTGAAATTATATTTCTGCATTTCTGTTTAATTAAAAATATACTATATTTTGTTAAAAAAAATGTTGCAATTTATTGTAATAAATTATATAATTGATAAATTTATAATAATCACTAAGTAAATTTTCATTTGTTACATATTAATTTCTTTCTAATAATTTAATATTAATATCATAATTGTATTATATAAAATTTAAGAAAGAGTAATTTAATCACACAAAATGTACACTACAAGTGTAAAATAAAGTAATATATTATTGTCTTACATAGAAGATATTTTAATTAAGAAATGATACTGAAATATATATGTAACTATTACAGTTTTTATGAAAATGAATTTTTTAAAATTTTCTAAGATTATATATTAATTATTAAAGCTTTATACACATTTCTATATTTATCTCACAAATAGGTTTTATATTTATAATTAATAATTAATCTAAATATATTTTTAAAATATAATTATACTTGTATTTTATAAAATATTTTTGTCTAATATTTTATATAATTAAACTTTACATTTATCAAATATGAAACATTTTTGAACAGATTACAAATAGAAATTTTTATTATTATTATTATTATTGATATTTACTTTTCAATATATATTTGATAAATATAAAACCGTTTGGTAAAAATATGCAATATAAATAAATAAATAATACAATGTTATAATTTATTTATCTTGGTATTTTAAACAATATTGAAAATTGTTATAAATTTGTAAGTACAATTGAAAATGCAAATAAAAATGATTTTCTATCCCTAGCTCTTTTCTTTAATTACTTCAACATTAAACGTTAAAGTAACAAAACTGAAAAATTTTGTTTATTATTGATGATTTTAATTTCTTATACCTACCCACACCCGCACATACGCACACACATAACGAAGTAGTTTATTATTTCATTTAGAAAGTTGCATATAGAATTAACAGTGTAGTTTACATGTAGGAAATATTAATCAGTATATTATTTTATATTGATAAAATGTTGAACAAAATTATAAATAAATGATTTAAATTAGAGTTTATCAAGAAAAAAAAAAACTACTGCTGTAAAACAGAAATATCTAATTACTGAACAATTAAAATAGATTTAGATGTATTCGATCGGAAAGGTCCAATCATTGTATCGCTTTGATCAACAGTTACTGATAGATATAGTTTGTGAAAATCGCATGCAGAAAAAAAAGAAGAAAATAGAGATTAGTCTTAATCTAGAATTATTATATCATCCATTCTTAACTTTAATTTTTTCTTCTGTTTATATTTATCCCTTTTAACAATACAGTCATGCAGTGCTTATGATAAAAAAGTTGTCTATATGTACACGTATGTATACTAAAAGTAGAGCTTCCTATCTTCATTATTATCATATAGCACTAAGTAAAATTTGACATAAACGTAGCAATTGTCCTTAATCAATATGTTCTCGTACTTTCAGGCACTTGTTAGGCTATTATTAATTGTTATCGATGTATATATTTTAGCTATTAATGTTTTTGTATAACGAATATTGTTATAACTTATTAACGCCACGCCTATGTTAATATAAAACATATTAGATGTAAATTATAATGGTAATATTAGATTTACATTACATATTTTTATATTTATACTGTATTTCGTTTAATTTCACTATTTAATTTTAATACATTTCTATGTATTGAAATTAATTTTTAGAAATAGTCATGATATTTATATTTATTTTATGCATCTTGGTATCAGCATATTAAAATTAATATTAGTTGACAATTGACATAGCTTTTATTAAAAGATATTGTATCTTTAGTAGGTTCACATATCATATACTTCAATATAAAAAGTATTCAGGTCCTTTTATTTGGAACATTACATTATCTGTAACATGGAGAAAGACGCTGTAGTATCTGACATATCAGTTGTTGATGTCCATGATATTGCATTTGAAATAGGAAAAGAATGTGAAAAACTTATAGATTCATATGGAGTTGAATCTGTCGCTAATTTTATGCCAAAAGTAATACATGCGTTAGAATTGCTAGAAAATTTTGCAACTAAAAATGAACATGAAAACACTATAGTCCAAGAATTACAAGCTAAGATTTCGCAGTTGGAAACTGATAAAGTTGGAAAAGCAGAAGATAGGCAAAGATTTGAAAAGGTATTTTATTTAAAAAAATCAATATATGTCACTTATGTATATATCAAATTTAAGTATTTCAACAAATTTGAAATATATAATTTAAGTTTTTTAAAGATACTTATTTATTTCACAGGAACTGGAACAAATTGAAGAACATTGGCGGCAAGAATCTCGTAACCTAGTAGAAATGGTTACCAGGTTACAGGAAGAAAATAAGCGATTATCAGAAGCTTTACAGGAAACACATAGTGACAGTCAGTACAGCAATAAACAAAGTACTAACAACTTTCTTTCTACTAACACAATGCTAGAAATATCTTATTACATATATGCTTCATTAGTTAAATTAACATATTTTCAGCTTTTACAGTTAATCCAGATGCTGATATTGCAGTATTGCAGCATTTCAGACTTATGATAGACAAACAAAGAAATCAAATTCGAGGAAGGGATAAGGAATTACTACAAAAAAATATAGAAATAGAAGGGGTAAATTGGTATTTATGTTAACTGTAACATGTTTAATATATTATACTTTTTCTTTAATATATGATTTGGTTTATTTAAAAATTAATTACATATATTTTTATTTTAATTCATTCTTGTATTATATATAGCTAACAGCACAAGTCGAAAAACTCAAAGTTATTTGTCGAGAATTGAAACGAAAACAACGTCAAGCACAAATGCAAGCACGTGGTCTAGTAGAAGAAAGAGCAGATTTCTTAGCTCAACTGCAAGATCAAAATCGTGAACTGATAAATCTTCGAGCTCGCCTTGGTTTGGCAAAAAAAGAAAATGAAGACTTAAGTAAATTACAGAATTGTCCAGATTTAACAAATAAGGCTGTGTATGATCTGAATGATCCTGATAGACCAAGGTTTACAACTGCTGAATTGAAAGACATTTTACATGAACGAAATGAGTTGAAAGCTAGAGTATCAGATTTAGAAGATGAACTAGAACTATACCAGCCAAAATCTGAAACGTATGTCTAGATCTATATAATTATAACTTGTTTGTTATATAAATTATAACGAGATTTTTGTCAGTATAATGTAATATTATGTTTGTGGAATTATATTATTTTTTTCATACTATTACAGGATTAAAGATGATAAAGATCCTCCTGTCCAAGGTCCTCTCCCTCATGAACCAGATGATGCACCTTGGAAAAAGACATCTGAATCTGGAATTCATAAATTGTAAGTAATTCATACAAAAGACTTAAAAATTTGTATATTTAATAATAACGTCTATTTTTCAGTTTCCGGAAAATTTTTTTAGAGTCTAGCAGTAGTTTTTTAGTTGGTAGTAATCCACGCCCAAGTGTTCATGGCTTATCAAAAGCGGCACTCTATAGAAATAGTACATACGATGAATCTGTATAATGGTTTTCAACATATTTTTAATGAAGATAAGTTGAACATATGTTCTTGCATTTATTCATATTATTTTATATTCTGATAATACTACATAAGTTGTTTGAATAAGAACAAAGTAACTCTCCTTCCAGTTACTAAAATTATATATGACAATTAAATGACTGGCTAATATGAATAAAAAAGTTTACATAGAAATACGAGTATTGATATATGTATGACGTTACATATATTTACTGTCTAAAATTATGTTAACAATTGATGTGCCTCCTAACATGAAAATGTTGATAATGATGCATATGATAGTGTCTCATTATTTTCATTAGTAATATATGAAAAATAAATGACAAGATAAAGTGTAATATTATATAAAGTTATATAATCTCTATGATTTATGGATTGGAAACGCAGTAATGTTGCTTTTCTTTATTATATATTTATAATTAATAAAAAAGAATGTTTCTATTTACAAAGACATTGAACTTTATCTTGTTCAAATTTGAAATTTCACAATTTGTTTTTGCATTTATTATATTATAATCACAAGTACATGAAATTTTAAAAGTATTAATAAATAATGTACTAAATATATCTTTATTAGTATGAACTGTTTAATGTTATGATGAATATAAAAAATTGTATGATTACATAAAAGATAATTTTTTTTTTTTTCTGAAAATTTATATGTCGAAACATAATTTAAAATAATTTATTTTGATGCTTCACACACGCGCGCGTATCCGCATACATAGAACAAATATTAATATGTATAACGATATGATAAATATTAACAGTATAGTCAACATAAAAAATACACAATCACATAAACTACGCATTCAATTAATGAAATATATTGTAACTAGGAACTTGTTACATTAATACATAAACTAAAATTTTAAAAAAAGAAAAAAAAATTAAAACTTGATTTTAGTATATGAGATGAGAAATTATATATTAAAATGTATTATCCTGTGAAAATATAATTATTAATTTAATTATTAGAAAAAAAATAGATGAATTTTATAATTCATTATCAATTGCTAAAATTTTGCAAAAACTTTATATGTATAAAAAAATATGTATTTTTAGAACAGTAAACATATATAAAATTAATTAATCTGTTTTAAATTTAATGATATATTAAATAAAATTTAAATAATAAGAATTTATTAATTATAGCTTAAGTTACAAATAACTATAAAACATATCTGTAACTTAAGTTATATTTTAAAATAAAGAATGAAACATGCTTACTTTATAATATTGATTTTTCATTTAAATATAATTTATTAAAATCATAACTCAGATCCTGTTACATGTGCCTATTTTATAAATATGGTTATCTTGACTAATTTAGTAGAGTTTTTAAATAGTTAATGAGAGGATGTATCAATTTTTATTAGTAAAGTTTAAATACTTTTAAAGTATTTAGTAAATCTATCAGAGTAAATTTGAAATGTTCAAAGCATATTATCTTAAAGTGACGATCTTTATTATGTGGAAAGAGAACTGTGGGGAGGGGCCCCGCGTATGGCACCCCCTACGGTCGTGATGTCCGTGTGGGGTAGCTAAAAGGGACGATAAGGAAAAGGAAGGGATGCGCGCCCCCGTTTCGTCCCAGGCCTGCTAGTGGACTCATCACAGTAAGGCTACCCTAGCAGGTCCTGCCTTAGATTTAGATACTATTGGAAGGACGGGAAATTATATATATAGAATTTGGAGGCTTTTCCAAGGACTTGCGAGAAAGTCCTTGAAGTTGGAATCCATCTAGTGGCGAGAGCGTGAATGATGATTACTGTGGAACCAAATAAAATAAAATTTCTGCATTTCACATATGAAGTATTGAATAGTAGAATATTGCATTACATATATACTTACTATATTTTATAATAGTATAACGTTTTATAACTTAATTTTTGTAG